ATATATATATATATATATATATATATATATATATATATATATATATATATATATATATATATATACGGACACACCGGTTGATGGTGACCGACCAGGGGATGGGACACCTGGCCGGGAAATCGGGACGGGGAAACGACAGCCAGCACCCATCTTCGATATATATGTACATATATATATATATATATAGGAAGTCTAGCGCGCCGAGGGGTCTGTATCCGCCCTTTCGTATGCAGCATTGTTCCCCCCACCTCCGCGCCTTGCGAGAATCCCCACTAGAATCTCAAGGACGGTGTTCCCGCCACGCATTGCGTCTGCCACGTCACCGATCTTCGCCGCTATCGCCGAGCCTGCCTCTGACGTTGCCTTCGCTAGAGTGGCGGCGACCTTGTCCAAACCCTCGCCGTACGACCGTGTCGCGTCCTCCATTGCCCTGCTCAATGCTGTCCCACCGCTCATCGTGTCGTCCATCCTGCTTTTGTCGGTGTTCGTCCTCCGGATCTTCGCAGCTTGGTCTGAATCTTCCGTAGCTTTGCCGTCGGAAGCACTCCTCCCCGACGATGGCTGTGCTGGACCGCCGCTCGTCGAATTCCCCCCCGCGTTGCCTGGCAGGTTCTCGGACGCCAGCGTTTTGTCACACTTGATGGATGGCCGATTGAGTTTCCACTCCATCGCTTCCCACAAAGGTTTCTCAAAGCCTAGTGGCACCTGCTCCGCCTTCCGCTCCTCAAGGGTCATGTCCCAGTAGGAAGGTTTCCCCGAAGCATTCTCACACTTGTCCAGAATCAACTTCGCTGCCGCTAGCATGCCCTGCCACTTCTTACGACAATCCTCCGCCGACCTGTACTGAAACCCCTGCTCCGCCATCCGATCGTGCACCCACTCATATCGGTCCTTACTCCTCTTGAACCGATGCTGCCCGTCAGCGTCGGCCATAAGGGCGTCGTCCTCGGCCATCAATCTGGACAGCGCGATCCTCTCATCCAAGGTCTAGGGGATGTTTTGCTTCTTGTTTTTCGCAGCACCATCTTTGCCCCCCCGTTTGTTTGCATGCGTGCCGCTTTGGGGCCCAACCACATTCTCGCCCCCATCTCTCTGCCCAGCACTAGCATTGTCCCCATCCTCCTGCGCGTTGTCAGAGTTTTGCCCATCAATGTCACCGCCATCACTTTTGACCTCATCGTCGCCAACCAACTCATCTTCCTCGCCACCGAAGGAGGGACCTTGCAAGTCGGCGGCCGATGCAGTTGCGCTGTGGACAGGCCACCCCTCCTCCATATCCTCTACTTGCACATCTGCCATCGAAGATGACGGCTCGGCAGCAGACCGCGTCACCGACATGGGCGAGGGAGTGGACAACCCGCCATGCATGGGTTGCGACGGTTGTCGGCACTGCGGGGACCACTACCACTCGTCCCTCATCACTCCGCTCCTGTCCACAGTGTGCTGGGTGGGGTACACTTGCGGAGCAATGCCATATCCACCGCCGCCCGGGAACATGTGCGGAAAGGCATGCCATACCCTCCTCCAAACTGTGTGGAAAACGACGTCCGGCCCGTGTGCACGGGGCCCGCAGTCGGAGGGCGCGGTGTCCCGACCCTCCTCCGTGTGTCAAGTCCCTACCTGGTACCTGGGCTATAGTATGATGTGGACCAGTCCTGGTGGCGTTGCCTTCAGCAAAAGGGGTGCGCCACAGGACTTCCATTGGTCCACGCAGGCTCGGCGTCCTGCTGTACAGCAGAGCACAACCGACCTGTGACCGTGGTAGCCGCCGGGTTCGCCCTGGGACGCGGAAGTGAAAGGACTGGCGCGGTCTTTTCTGTCGCGCGCTGAGATCCCCTCTATAGGGTTATGGGTTAGGTGTACGAAATAAAGGTCGCTGATAAAAAGGGAAAAGAGAAAAAGAGGAAAACAAAGCGTCGAATTTGAACTCACTTTAGCTCGGGGAAAATCCAGTGGCTTCGGGTCACTGTGATGTTACGATTCCCTTTCCATTTTTGCTTACTGATTGTCATTATTATTATTATTATTAATGTTACTACTTAATTTTCCTATTTTTCAGTTTCCCGCCTGTCGATCTGTCACTTTGCAGGGAAGGCCGCCTATTCGGGTTTTCGAACTGCAACTGCGGTCTTATGGTCTGGGGCTCTACCTACCCCTTGTATATCGCCTGTATCAGACCCGTTCGTCCGAACCTCGCGGTGGGTCCCCGATGGCCAGGTTAAAAGGCAGATACAGTGAGGACTAAAAGGAAAAAAGAAAAAATATATATATATAGTAAAAGAGAGAGAAGGAACGAGAAAGGTTGAAAGTCGGGTGCTAGATTTGTGCGTGAACGTGGATCGCTGTTTAGGCAAGGGTGTTGCGCGGAGAAATTTTGGGACGCCACCCTTTCCTTTTCAGCGATTAATATTATTATTATTATTATTGTTAATTTGTTATTATTATTATTACTGTTCTTATTTATTGACACTGTTCTTTCGATCAGTTGTGCCGCGGGAAGGCCAACGGTCCAATTTCCAAGTGCGGCTGTAGTCTGTGGCTCGAACGGATCTGACTGGTCATTTCCATATCGGTGGTCGGGAGGGCTGATCTGGTGTTGCGCGATAAGACCCCAAAAGGAGGGCGACCCGCGGCCGCATCGGTAGTCCCATAACGAGATCCCAACCGTTCGGGTTCTCACCTTAAAAGAGAGCACTGTGCTATTTCTCACCGCGGACTGGTCATTTCCCCTTGTGGAGAGTCATAAGCCCAACC